GAACAAGATGGAACCTGCTTCCCAACCCCGGTCCTCTGCGCAGCCTTTCTTCAAGTCTATCAAATGGCAGATTTCTTTATTGAGCCAATCACGGCAGGCGCGGCTCACGTTGCAGCCGGGATCCGCCCGGCACGTTGTCCTTGCATTCATTGCATCCACCCAGAAACACATCATTTTGATTGTAACAGCCCGGACCAGCTCAATAGGCGCCGGGGGGGGGGCGCGCGAAGGGGGAGAAAGGCTTATAATACAGTAGTTTTTAAAAAAGAGAGATTTCTCACTCTTTGAGGCCCAATTCATACGTGCAGTGGAAACGTGATCCGCCTTTCGAGGAAGGGAGGGTGTGGAAACACACACCTTGGTCGTGAGACTTTAATAGGATGTATTCACAGGCTGCGTGCGTGAGGAATTAATGCCAGGTTTTGTGTGTGCACCGGGAAAACTCTCATGTGACAGCATTTGTATCTGCATTTAGAGAGTCCACCCTTCTGTGTGTTCCCGCCCCCGACCAGAAACACTGCAACTACTTGATTCTGTTATGTGTGTTACCGGGGCCTAATGTCTATTTCACAGTGTCAGATTGTACACCAAGACCTAGAATCTATGTGGGGCATCTTGTCTTAACAGAGGAAGCCCTGTCTTATACATACTGTAGCCTTATCTGGTCTCTTGGTGTTTATGAATATAGGTAGTGACTTTTCCCCTGTGTTCCCCATACAGATACTTACCCACATAACGGTAACCAGTTCTTGTCATTATGCTGCAAAGCCTGCGGGAGGGTGGTCAGTCTGATAGTGAAGTGTGGTTGGATGAAGGCTATGGAGTCTGATTTAGTTTAAATCATTAGTATTTAGGTGCCCTATAAAAATATGACTTGTGTGCTACTGTAGCATGCTTCTAATTCATGAGGTGTTCTATATCAGCTTTTGAATATTTTGTAGACAGCTCTAATACCTTATGAAAGATGATACAAAATATTTAAATATATTATTATTATTATTTTTACAGATGACTTTTAATACTGAAGAAGCCCACAATATTATTAAAGATGTAAGTTATTTTTTACCTTTTTGTTTATATGTGGATGTTGTGATGACAAAATGCATTTCTAAGGAACTTTTTCTTTGTTTTACCCAAAAGTGATAATGATGGGTATACCTGAATGACTCAAACTGTCCTGTATATTCTTAGGGTTTATCAGATGGACAGACCAGCTCCACTTTAACAGATTGCAGAACTCAAAACTCTCAGCATAACTTTTGCCCAGTGCAGATGAGCTCTTATAGGATAGATTTCAAACTAGCAATGCATAGTTTGTGCCAAGATCCAATCTGTTTGCACCCAATGCTTTTGAATATTTTGTAGACAGCTCTAATACCTTATGAAAGATGATACAAAATATTTAAATATATTATTATTATTATTTTTACAGATGACTTTTAATACTGAAGAAGCCCACAATATTATTAAAGATGTAAGTTATTTTTTTACCTTTTTGTTTATATGTGGATGTTGTGATGACAAAATGCATTTCTAAGGAACTTTTTCTTTGTTTTACCCAAAAGTGATAATGATGGGTATACCTGAATGACTCGAACTGTCATCCTGTATATTCCTAGGGCTTATCAGATGGACAGACCAGCACCACTTTTAACAGGTTTTAGAACTCAAAACTCTCAGCATAACTTTCGCCCAGTTCAGATGAGCTCTTATAAGATAGATTTCAAACTAGCAATGCATAGATTATGCCAAGATCCAATCTGTTTGCACCCAATTTTGAATACTGGATAGTTAAGATTACTGTATCTTACAAGGCTTACATCACTGGTTCCCTCTGCTGGTGGGAGGCTAATTTTTGGCAGTCTCTTCCAACTAGATACAGTGGACCCTCTACTTACGGAATTAATCTGTATTGGAATGGTGGTTGCAGGTCGAAAAGTCTGTAGGTCGAGTCTCCATTGACCTACAATGCATGGAAAACTGATTAATCCGTAACCGACAGTTTTTGTTCCATTTTTGTTCCATTTTGGGTTTTTTCTGGTCTGTAAGTCGATTCTCCGGCTGCAAGTCGAACCTAAATTTTGCACCCAGAGAAGTCTGTAACTCGAAAAGTCTGTAAGTCGAGCCGTCTGTAAGTCGAGGGTCCACTATAGTCTATTTAACTAGAGTTCTGTCATTGAAAACCAACTTGAATCCAAGTCTGTAAATTAGTGTTTCTTCAGAAAAACCTGTTGTATAATCACACTTCTGCAATCACAGAATAATATGGGGGGGGTAACATCGTTTTCCATTTGCAGTCCTCATATGTTACCTGTTTTTCTTAGTAGGAAATGATCAATTGAGAAAGAAAAGATAAAATGACTGTACGCTGTCTTTTCACTGCTAGTGAAACAAGTACCTCTGAACACCCCTTAGCACTGCTGTAATCCTTAGGAGCAATAAGGTTTATGTTAGCCCATGGTTAGCCATGTTCGTCTGTAGTCTTTTGCAGCAAAACAATTAAAATGTACAGTATTGTGACACCTTAAAGCTTTTTTTTTTTGGCCAAACCACTTCCTTAAATTCATGATCTGTTAAACTATGGTCCATGAAAGACTGTGTTGAATAAAATGTGTTTGTCTTTAATGTGCCACAGGATTGTTGGCTTGTTGCAAAAGTTTGCAGTGGCTGAGGCTACAATCTTGCACAGCTCAGCTGTCTAAGCGTCTTTGAAGTTAACAGGATTTGTTTCTGTGGCTGTTTTAAGTGTAGGACTATAGCAATGTTATGCTGACAGTAGCCTTAACACAGCAGATGCTTAGCATACTGAAACAATGCGGTCACCCTCTCTGGATGTCAGAATAGCAAGAACTGAGAATTGAAGCATTAACTGTGGTATAGCCATTACAGTGGGACAGTAGGGTCATTTCTGGGGAGAAAAAATCAGAGTATTGCTCTGTTTTTTTCAATGAGTGTATCTAATACAATTTGTCACTTCCTTTCTCTGTCCAGGTGGGGGTGGTAGTATAGCACACAATTACTGTATTCTATGCAGGAGCTCCAAACTAGGAAAAGATACAATTAATAATTATATAAATTGCTTTACAAAACACTGCAGGACTGAATTAGAAAAGTTTGCTTTTATACCTCTTTCGATTTCAATTCATTCCCATTTTTAAACTTTTCTTTCTTTCTTTTTTCAGTGCATAGAAGGCATTCTGGGCAAGGTAGATTACAGTCATGACAGTGTCAATCAGTGGACTGCAGCCATTGTAGAACAAGCTTTAACACAGTTGGTGAAACTGGGGAAAACCTACAAATACATTGGTAAGAGCCAGTGCCCAAATCAGATATTAGTCGCAACCAAATTAGGTCGATTGAATCAGTGGGCTTTAGGGAAGTGTTGATTTGCCATTCAGTAGATTCCATGGATCTACCCTGGTTCTACCCTGCAATTGCACTCCTGCTAAAATATATGCTACTCTGTTATTATTATTTTGTTAATTCTAAATAAGTGTGATTGGTGATTGAAAGAGACCTGCTTTTATATGATAGAACTGGCTACCCTACAGATAATAAACTAATTATTTCTCTGTAGAATTAGAGCACAGAAAGCACATGTGTCCTGATCTGTTACAGATTCTTGTACTAAAAGAGGATATAAGGAATAAAATTCGGGACTTAAATCTAGGCGACTCATGCTTCAGTTTTCTCTAATCTCAGCAGCGTATCCTTCAGCATTTGACAAAATGATTAGAGAAGTAAATTCAGCTTAAATAAATGAGACACAATTGGTGGATTTGAAATAGGATCAAGTTATTTTGTTGGTAGACTGCAGTTTTCAGCAAGCCTAGTGAGACAAGCCAGTGGTGAGAGACCATGGGAGTTGTAGTGCAACATCTGGAGCAGGGAGGAGCAACCTTCAGAGATTCAGGGACTGCACATTCCTGTCTTTGAAATTTGGAGTGCGACTACTACAGTATGCCACCTTTTTTATCTTACAAAAATTGGAAGATTTTTTAAAAACTAAAATAAACCCTCTTATGCCCTCTAGTGGCCAAGCAAAGGTTAAAAATTGGGACAGAGATCCTGAGTTGTTGAGGTGCCCTGAAAACATGGTGCATTTTTCTCCTTGGCACCCCTTAGAGGGCACAAGGGGATATTTTGAGCCATTTAAAAGAAATACAATTGGTGTAGAACGGCACCAAAACTGTTGAGGGAGACACATGTTGCCCACCCCCAATCTGAAGGAACACAGTTGATTCAGGATTAAGTTGCAAAACTCATGTCCTAAGGAAGTATTATGTACATCACCTGACATCTTCAGGTGCAATAGGTAGGAGACAGCAGAAAGAGCATGTGGAAGTTGTAAGAGGTCCATTAATCTTGACTGGGAGCTCTTATGCCATTATAGAGAAAAAGGTTTCAGCCACAAGTTTGCCAGATATTGAAATGGAAGTACAGTAAGTTCATGTTCAAATCTAAACTTTATACATCAGGAAGCACTGTGTTTACATTAACCATAGCGACTCTTGAAATGGGCTTTCTTCCTATTTTGTTTGCTGTTGCACTAAAGCACATTAAAATTATGATTACTTTGGAAATAAATTACTTTCATGGAGATCTTTTGTCAGAAAACACTGCTAATCATTGCCATCAGAACATTTGCTGGATGCTTGCAATGTCTCACAATAGGCTTAGAATCTTAGGATTGCCAGCCAAAAAGAAAAAGAAAAAGAAAAAAAAAGCCACTTTTCAGGGGGAGGAGGAAAACCTTATTGATTCCATAATTTGGAAGAAAGAAGAAGTGAAAGGGAAAAAAATAGTCCTTGAATTTTACAGCATAATCTAACAGAATAAGTTGTTGTAGAAAGATGGGAATGTTTCCAAATTCTCTGCCACAGGCTGACTGTGGATTCTCTCTCTCTCTCTCTCTCTCTCTCTCATATCTAACACTCAGTTTTCTCAGTTACATAAAACGATAATTGGTGAAGGCTGTAGGTCTGAATGATTTATCTGTTTTTTGCTTTATTAATGAACACGGAATATTATTCCATCCTTCAGTAACCTGTGCGGTGATGCAGAAATGTGGAGCTGGTCTACACACAGCAAGCTCATGTTTCTGGGATACCACAACTGATGGTAAGTGCCACCCCGTAGAATCTCAATAGACAGCAACATTGTCTTAGTCATTGTGAAACGCTGTCCAGCCCTTGAAAGACAACCATAGCTGTTTGTTTGAAAAAAAAAGTTTGAGGAAAACTACATACTACTTGTAGCGTGTCATTTGGTTCTTTGTGGTATTGCCAGAAATATGTGTGAATAGTAGTCGGTGTCTTTTAAAAGACTCATGCCCCCTTTCCCTTGACATCTGTACAGTTTGTAGGAAATCATTGGTAACAATAGCTTGTCTGCCATACTCTTCTGTTTCCACCAGTCAAGCACCCAGCCGTGTGATGGACAGCAAATAAAAAAGAACTCCTTGCATAATTATGTCATACAGTGGTGCCTCGCTTGACGATTACCTCATTAGACGAGGAAATTGCTTGACAATGAAGTTTTTGCGATTGCAAAATGATGTTTTAATAGGCAAAAATCCCTTAACAACAATCTGTTCCCTGTTTCGGGAACTGATTTTTCACTTAACAACGATCTTTACATGATCGTCGGGTCTTCAAAATGGCCACCTGCTGTTTAAAATGGCTCCCTGCTGTGTTTTAGGACGGATTCCTCACTTTACAGGCACCGAAAATGGGCGCCCTGTGGAGGATCTTCACTGGATGCTGAGGTATTTCGCCCATTGGGACACTTTGAACCGGTTTTCAATGCATTTCAATGGGCTTTTTCATTTCGCTTAACAGCAATTTGAACAGAACGAATTATCCTTGTCAAGCGAGGCACCACTGTATTGGGATACCCATTGTATTGTAGTGGATAGAGTGACAGACTGGGTTTTAATCTCCGCTCAGCCATGGAAACTCACTGGGGGTGTGGAATTGATAAAAGCACTCCTTAAATATCTCACTTACCTTGAAAGGCCTATTAGGATTGCTATAAGGGATTTGGTTCCTGATAATGATGCTTATACTTATAAACAGGTGTTCAACTCAACAAACACTA